GTGTGACGTAGCGACATATTTCCCGACGGGACAGTTTACTGAATGATGTCCACTAACGTGAAACAGATGGAGAGGAGCTCTTTAGCTGAAATCGAGTGCCTGCAGTCGGTGTCCTGACAGGAGATATCCGCACCAATGCGTGGCAGCGGCTCATCAGACTGGACTCGGGACAAAAATAGTCCTGAAAGCGAGCTGTGAGCCTCTCCCGCAGCTCCTGGGTGATGAAACTCAGAATGTCTCTGAATTATCTGGTGAATTAATTATGAATTAATTATCTGGTGACATGCTCTTGCTCTCTGTAAATAAAGCAAAGCCACTTCCTCGTCCGACATTAAACAGAGCCCGACAGAGGAGGGAGGGGTGGGGAGGCTGTTGCCGCGCAGTGCTTCAAGAGCTGACCTGCATCTGACCTCAAAGTGCACAAGCGACCAACTTGAGTGTTTGTTGCGATTTTGAAGCTGAAATCGCGTTCGGTGTGAACGCTGCATCAGGGTTAGCTGCTCCAAGCCGCCTTCTGCCGTTTTACCTCATGTACCCACTGGATGACACGTCACACATGGAAATACGTTGTAATCACGCCACACTAATTGTAGTAATCGCAAAGTGACAAATATTAATCAGTGACAGTTTTCCTGATTGCACACAATACGATTTTGCCCAGTCCTATTTGACAGTAGAAATTAGGTGAAGTTTACCTCCTGGTATTTTCTGATGAGTTGAATTCATCGCCCTGATAGTACTAAGAGGAATATTTGTGCGTGCAGTGCGGGAGATGCAGCAGGTGTACGACATGTGGCTGAAGCTGGCCGCTCAGAACCGCCAAGCAGATGGAGCCGCCATCTCTCAGCCCAACTCTGAGGAGAAATGCATCATGATGCCAACAGACTACGCTGAACCCATGGTGGGTTAACATTTGAGCTTTGATTTCCAAAAGGCTAAATTCTTCTCTGTTTCTGCATTTATATTTAAAATGAACAATTCTAATCTGTGTCTTAGAGTGGCTTCCACTGCCGTCTGTGTGGTAAACACAGTAACAGTGAGCGGCAGTGGCAGCAGCACATTTCTACAGAGAAGCACAAGGATAGAGTGTTCAGCTGCGAGGGAGAGGAAGAGGACCTGCTGTGGAACCACCGTTTCCCTGGGACTCACTTTAAAATCTGCCCCAAGTAAGAGCTTTACCTGAATGTAATAGTGAGGAAATTTTCACAGCAGTTTTTTTTGAATCACAAAGAAAGATTGAGAATCTTAACCTGTAAAATTAAAAAAAAAAACAAGAATGTTTGGACATTTTGAATTATGGTTCTGTGGAAAAGTTCGAAACAATCAGTGTCTTACCTGCTGTAGAAAGCTCTTTGAATGACTTCAGTTTTGAGAAGTGGTTTAGTTCTGAGCAAATTGAGGAGATATGGACATGTCATTGCAGAGTCAAGACCAAAGTGTGTTTCTGTCATATTAAATCAACCACTCATCAAACATTCGCTCAAATGCTTTTTAGTTAACACCAAGGGTGTCAGAATCATTTTCACAAAGGGCCACATGAGCCCTCAAAGGGCCAGTTGTAATTAACTTCCAACGTTTTGTGTTCAACTTTGACTAAACACAAAATGTCACTTTCGTCGTCTCATTGCTACGATTGAGCACTGCCAACAAACAACTCTGCTCTACGTGGTATTTCCTGCACAGAAACAGCGTTTTAACACATCTTATAAACACAGTGAAAAGTACTACGTGAATGACTGACTAAATATGAAATAAATACAGAAGTACTATTAAAAGTAAAAGCAGTATAAGAGAGTTTTTCTCACTGCTGAGTTATTGTGAGTAGCTGAGGTGTGAGTAGCTACCATCTCAAATTCGAAAGTCCCACTTTCCAACAGGGAATTCATCAAGAGATATGTAATCTACTGAAGGTGCATTCCAGTTTAAATTTACTATGTGTAAGTGGGAAATTACCACTTCCCAGTACAACTGGGTAGCAGCAAAAGTAGTCGGAGAAAATGCCACCAAATGGAGATTTTACACAGCAAATTTTGCCAGCTGCTGGCTACCAGCTACGTTTGAACCCACTGCACCTCCATATAGTGGTAGAATGTCGTCATTTCACAGGAAAAATAAACAACATGCATTATGGGTGAAATGTACGGTCAATGCAGTCAATTCCTTAAAGCAGTGTACATTTGTTTTAAAAGCACAGTGTGTAGGATTTGTTGCTTTCAGTGACATCTAGTGGTTGAATCATCCTCCCTGGTCCTCCCCCCACCCCCACCCCCCGCTTCCAAACGCAAAGGAGTTGCTACGGTGTCTCTCAGGTGTCAAAAACCTTTGATAATTCCAACCGCGATGTCTACCACCAGCTTCAGGGCTAGTGATGTTTCAABTGGTAAGATTATGAGCTTTAATAAGTAAAATTATCCCAGCTACAATGACAGACAACAAATATTACATTTATAGTATTACAACTAAAACCGTTTTTGACGCCGCCACCGCAGTTTGTCCTTCATGAGCCTTCGTAGACAAGATGGCGGTGCAAGATGGCGGCTGCCTGTGTGGCGACCCACGACCATGGAGATGAAAATAGCTTTTTATAAGGTAAAAATAATAAAACAAGGTCTTTGTCTGTAATGATTAGACATGTTTTTTATTATTATCATTAGTGATTATCTCAATTTCGGCTAAAAGACTTGACAAAATCTACACACTGTGCCTTTTAAGACAATACATTTTTGAAGCTCTCATGGGCCTCTCTAAAATACTGTGGTGGGCCACCTTTTGCCCATGGTCCTTAGATTTAACATGTTCTTTACACCTTCATCAGTTTCACATAGAATCATTTCACAAGAAATACTGTTTTCTGCAAGACGCTAACAGTTGTAGACGTCCATTAAAGGATTACTTTCTGAGAGTGTCATCAGAATCCATTAACTGGTTTGTGGGATATTTTGCTGACAGACAAAGTTGACTCCAACAGTTAATGCCAAAGGCTGTAATCTGAGGAAATGTTTAGAATCATGTTTCTGATTTTCAGAGTGGAAGGCGGCTGTCCTGACGGGATGAGCTGTGACTACGCTCACAGCCCGGAGGAGCTGCAGGAGTGGACCGAGAGGCGCAAGTTCCTGCGCCAAAAGCTGGCCAAGGCCAGGGAGGATATGCTCATCATGCCAGACGAGTTTGACTTCGGGAAGTACAACTTTCTGCTTCAGGACTGAGAATATTTTGACTTTGAGCCATTTGTCGTAACTGCCAAAGGTAACAGTGTGATTGTGTTATTCTGCCTTTTCAACCTTAAACCCAAGTCTTCAGGTGAAGTAATAGAATCCACAGGGAGCCAAATAAACTCTTGAAGTCTTTAGTTTATGGATTTGCCTTCCTGAAAGTGCTGCACACCATTTATTTTCTAATAATGTTTTAATCGCTTCACTGAATGGAGCAGTGTCTCCTGATAGTGGCTGTTTGGTCTAAACTTGGTCAAACTAATAAGTGCTTTGAAAGTAAAACTTGGGGGTGAACTATGAAATTCCCAGCTGTCAGATTATCTTTATCACAGGTTCTATATAAAAGGTTCATATTTCACCATACTTGCAGTTTTTACTCTTCTTTTATTTTGTTTTCTTCTGTTTCTGAAGCTTTTCAAACTTGTAACCTACCGTTCATCAAAAGCTGGATGTTGAAAACCCTGAAAGTTCATTAAAATACCCCAGATGTTTTTTTTATGTTTCAGTTTGATATGTACAAATGTTGGAACAGAATATTTGTGACTTTTTGTATTTCCTGGTCAAAATGTATTCTTCAGCAGAGAAGACTTACAGATTTAGCGTTTAACCAAATTAAATGTGAATAAAGTGATGTGCTGTTAATCTAAGGAGACAATTATTGTTTTAAATTGAAAGCTCCAAATTTATCATAATTTCATGTTGCTAAAGTTTTATTTGTAAAACTGGAGTTGTTTGTTCAGACTAAAGTGTGCTGAAGGTTCCAAACTAGAACAATGGAGGGAGGAAGAGGAAGATGAGTTCAAGTCAGAGGACGGAGAGGAGCAGGCTCAGCAGGAAGAGGAGGGGGGCAAAGAGAGCGCAAGACAACTATGCACCACGGACAAGATGAGAACAGCAGTCACTGTCCACAGCATGTCAATGATCAAATCAGGACAAAGAGTCCAAACCCAAGCAGGTTCTCAGTGAATATCAGTATCTGGTCATTCAGAGAACACAACAGGTGCTGTATTACTGCGTTGGTCATCACAGTAAATATAGTATATTGTCTCAGTTCTGTACAAATAGAATGTGAAACATGTCCATGGCGTTTATTGAATTCATGTTTTTTTAAGAGTACATGAATAATTCTGTTCTGTGAAATACAAGTTTCTTTTTCTAGAGTTGAAAGAATGCCTCATAGAGGTAGGAGGGTTGTCATATACTGCCTGGCCAAAAAAAAAGTCACCACCAATAAAAGGTCACAAACACTAATATTTTGTTGGACTACCTTTAGCTTTGATTACAGCACACATTCACTGTGGCGTTGTTTCAATAAGTTTCTGAAATGTCAAGATTTATTTCCATCCAGTGTTGCATTAATTTTTCACTAAGATCTTGCATTGATGGTAGAGTCTGACCTTCTCCAGCACATCCCAGAGATACTCAATGGACTCTGTGGAGCCAATCCATGTGTGAAAATGATGTCTCGTGCTCCCTGAACCACTCTTTCACAATAAGAGCCCCATGAATCCTGACATTGTCATCTTGGAATATGGTCATGCCATCAGGGCAGAAACAATCCATTGATYGAATAACCTGCTCYTTCAGGTCAGCTGACATAATTCTTTGAGCACAGACTGTTGTTGAACCTACACCTGACCAAATGCAGCAACCCCACATCATAGACCTTAAATCCAGGTGGTGTATTTACGCAGGTGCAACAAGCCCTCATTGATCTGGTTCAGGAGAACACAGACTCCAAGAAATCAATGCGAGGGTCATCGATGTCAGCTTGACTACCAAAGACTGAGTTCTTCAAGACCTGACCCAGCTCAACAACATGCTACTGCCCAATGATTATGGTGTAGATTCATAATAAAAGTACATCACAATTCAATTCAGTATAGAACACCAAGTCACAGTGAATGTCATCTCAGGTCTGTATGAAAACAATCCTGCCTGATCACTGGACTTTGATGTGAGAAACATAAAAACTTTTATTTAAACACTATAAATATGGAAGAAATATATCAAAATAATGGATAGTTTACATTGAAAAAACAAATTGCTTTACCACTTTTGATTTCTAATACAATAGTTTTCCAAAGCTAAGAAAAATATAAAACCGATTTGACCTTTTTTATCCATTTTTATAATTTTTTTATTGCTGGATAAAAAGCAAACAGGAAAGCTCAAACGTTGTATTTAAACAACTGAACCTTTAAATAATACAAATACAAGACAAGTAATTTCCACAAGTTTATTATATTTATTTTTTAACATGAAAAATGATGAATCAAGATGGAAGATCTGCATTTGGAGCATTACACTGCAGGAAAGAAAAAATACTCAGAATACATTTTAGGTCTAATATCCATCACCTTGAAATGATATTTTCTTGCATTTTGAAAATACATATATACATATACACTTAAAATGGTTTTGATCTACAAACAAATGTTTTTAATTCTGTTTACTTGATAATTTTTTTTAGTTTGTATTAATTTACATAAGTATCTGGGAAAACTGAACTAAGGTACTTTACAGCACATTTTGTTTTCTTAAAATGATTTCCAGGAAACAACTACAATCTTTTAATGAATATGTTTTTAACATCTCTTTTTTTTTCAGCACTTAATATTTGGCTACAAAAGCTCAGTAACCCAACATTGACCGTCTGTACCAGCTTAGCCAGGTCCTTGCCTTCCTACGCAGCTCCGCTCAATTCTAGTTTCCTTCACTGCTCCGTCTGGGACTTCTCCCATTGACAAGGATTTCACTGGCAGATTTTTAGCCGGGCCAATCAGAGAGCAGAACGTCGATTTTCTGTGCAGTGTCTGCTTGTAGTTTATTTTACCTGGACCAATCAGCAAACAGAAGGAGGAGTTTTGAACGACACTACAAGAAACTTCTCTGTGCATCAAGTCCAGAGGTCTGAAGCAAAGTGAAGGACACGGTCTGGTTTAAACCAGGCTAGTACCAGCTTGTTCTGATATAAAACCTAGAACAGAACAACTAACGAGGTCTGAAGTGTATTTTGACAAATGTTCATAAAAAGCAAATATTAGAAAATGAATTCCAACACGAACAATCATCTTATAACAAGACAGCGGAAATACGTACATGCACATTTTAATAAAACAACAGCAGCTTCATTTCACAATACATGTACTATTTACCGAGAAATCCTGCAAAGCTGCAGTTTCATTCCAGGAAAAATAAAGTTTTAAATGAGTTCTTAATATTTACAGTTTAACGGTTTTCTTTAATGTGTAGATTCTCATGTTTTCAGAGTAAACTAGTAAACATTTTAGAATAGCCACTGCAGCTAATGGCTAATATTTTGTCCACAAAGATCACAACTAAAGTGTTCCCCATGTGGATTTTTATATTTTTATTTAAATATCTTCAGGCTAAACCAGTGATCACCAAAAAGATGAAGGTAGGGAGTGGTGGGGTAGAGACTCCCATCCACCATCTACTCAGATAAAAAATTATGAAAAATTACAAAAAACATGTAATGATATAAATCATATTTGCATACGTTATTTGTTTCAGAGCTACCCCAAAACAACTGAAATAGTAAAAAAAAAAAAGAGTCAATTTGTGATGATCAAATTGACCCAATAATGAGTACGGTAAACTGAGTTCTTCTGAGATTTAATGTGTTTGATAGCTTTTTAATAAATACCACAACTGAAGAACCTCAAACTTTTTCACTTTTCAGGCTGTATGAGACCCAATTTTTTTAATGCTATTTATTTTAAGAGAAAATGTTACTCTGCAGGTTAATATGTTGCTGTTTGCAGTGCACAAATTAATGCATAAGTCACAGACTCATAACTTTGTCAAAAAAACATAATTCGATTTCCTTTTTTTTTTTTACAATTTTAACACGATTGACTTTTCATATAAGCACATTTTTTCTCTAAAGTTTCTGCACAGTGGCAAAATCAAAATTATATTTTACACTGAAAAATAAAAATTTTAGTTAACATAAAGAGCATGGCAAATGCAGTTAAGTAGCTTTCTAAAGTCTATATAACTAATGGATCCCCACTTCAAAGCATGAGCATCAAATAAAAAGGCTCACTTATGCTAAATAACAAATGTGTATAAACCTCTAAAGCAGAAATATAGGTTAATTATTGAGGGAAAAATGGATTTCTCTTGGATATCTAACCGCTTCTTATTGAGCTTGATAGCTATGAGGTTTCATCACAAGCATCATTGTCTTGTGTATTTCTTGCATCAAAGGCCGGCTCTGCAGAGTCTGCACTGTAAAATTCTGTACCCTCAGTAAAGTTTGTTGGTGAGCCCTGGGCTAACTCTTCGTCAGCGTACATCACAACCACTTTCTGCACTGTGTGGATTTTCCTGTGTCCATCTAGATGTGCCTTTTGTCTAAAACTTTGTCCACAAAGATCACAACTAAACGGCTTTTCTCCTGTGTGGATCCTCATGTGTATGCCTAAATGTGTCTTTCGTGTAAAACTTTGTCCACAGAGATCGCAACAAAATTGTTTCTCTCCTGTGTGGAAGCTCACATGTCTATCTAATTGGGCTTTATTGCTAAACCTGTGATGGCACACAACGCAACCGAACAGTTTCTCTCCTGAATGGATTTTCATGTGAATGCCTAAATGTTTCTTCCGCGAAAATCTTTGCTCGCAGAAGTCACAACCAAACCGTTTCATTACTGTGTGGATTCGAATATGTTTGTTTAAATTCGACTTGTGGGTAAAACTTCTCCCACATATTTCACAATCGTATGGCTTCTCCCCAGCATGGATTCTTGAATGTTTATTTAAATTTGACTTGTGGGTAAACCTTCGTCCACAAACGCCACAATCGTATGGTTTTTCTCCCGTGTGGATTCTCATGTGTTTGTTTAACGTGTTCTTAAGGCTAAATCTTTGTTGGCATACATCACAGCCGAATGGTTTTTCTCCAGTATGGATTCTCATGTGAACGCCCAAATGCGTCATGCGAGTGAATCTTTGTCCACAGACGTCACAACCAAACGGTTTCTCTCCTGTGTGGAAACTTACGTGTCTGTCTAAATGTGTCTTATGGCTGAACTTCTCTCCACAAAAATCACATTCAAACAGTTTCTGCCCTCTGTGGAAACGACCGTGTCTTTCTAGATCTGTCTTATATGTGAATCTCTGTCCACAAACGTCACAGCCAAACGGTTTCTCTCCTGTATGGATTCTTGAATGTTTGTTCATATTTGACTTAAGGTTAAATCTTCGGCCGCACACATCGCAACTGTATGGTTTCTCTCCTGTGTGGGTTCTGGTGTGTTTGTTTAAATTTGATTTATGGTTGAACCTTCGTCCACATACATCGCAGCTGTAGGGTTTCTCTCCAGTGTGAACTCTCATGTGTTTGGTTAAATCTGTTTTACAGGTAACTACTTTACCACAGTCATTACAGCTCAATGATTTCCGAGATAGCGGGACTTCACTGCAAGATTCTGCATTTTTCTTTACATTATAACGTTTCTTTTGACCAAAACAACTTGAAGTACTCATTTCTGAATGACCCATCATGTGTCTAAGGAAAGACTGGTCGTCAACAAACTGTTTGCCACACTCAGAGCAGCGTAAACCTTTGTTGACATTGTTTGGACCAGACAAGTCTACACTGCCCTCCTTACAGTCATCATCGCTTTCTTCAGCTTTGGGTTCTGATAACTGCATGAAAGAGCAATCAGTATTGTTCACATCTTTGTCCTCTTCATTATTATCACCGACTTCAGTTTCTGAAGAGGTGGACTCGTCTTTGTGAGTCTTTCGATTCCTGGTAGTTTTTGCATCTCCACCAGTTGCTGCTTTCATCCGGTTAGCTAAGCTGCAGGATGGAAAATCTTCTTTTTTCATTTGATGTTGAAGCTGTAAAAGCTGAGGTTTCTCATCATCATCCTCATTCTTCAAAGGAACCGAAGTAAAAGAAAATTTTGGGGTATTAGTCTCTTTCTTCCCAACGATCTGGTCTTCCTCCAAACTTGTCGAGGGCTCTTCCTCCTTTTTGTGAAGGAGGTCCACATCAGGCTGCCATTCTTCAGGGGATTTTTCATTTATCTCTCCCTCCTGGCTGGTCCAGAGTTCCTCATCTTCTTCCTCTTTTATGTGGATGGGGTCCAAACCAGGCCTCCATCCTTCTGGAGAACCTTCTTTCATCTCTCCCTCAGAACTGGTCCAGACTTCCTCCTCTTCCTCTTTTATGTAGAAAACCTCAGGATCTTGCTGGTTCATACAAGAGCTTTTTTCTTTAGGAGCTTCTTCTTTAACATCTGCAGGGAACACAGAAACACATGAACATTATGGACAACTTAATGCTATATTTACACAACTGTTTTCTCTTTTTTTTTTATCAATTCACTGCTTGGTTGCTCATTAAGAACATTAGTCTGACAGAATTTATCTTAAAAGCACTATTTGAATCTTTTTTTAAAAACTAGTCTTTGTAGAGGCAGGTCTGCACCATATTTAATGTTGAGAACCAGACTGCAAAAATTTTAATTTCCACAGACTTTGCAAAGGTCGACAAAATGTGGCTTCAATACTCCCAACAAAATCAATGACCTTTTATTATTGTCTACATTTTATAAAAACAAACTTTAATTAGACCATGTAAAGTAAAAATATATGTTTGTTCTGAGGTTGTCACACCACAGAAATACAGTATGTGTTAAAAATCCCCCAGTCAAGTTTGAACAATTAAAAATACTGTTAACCTAGGGCTGCGCAGTATATGCGGTAGACGGTAGAAACGGTATGAAGTTGGCCTACGGTGGAAATTTACCCTCTATCGTCCTATCGTCATCGCACCTGTGTCAGCATGGCTGCGAGTGCAGAGACAACTGAGCAGGAGTTTGAAATGTAATGAAGAAATTCTAGCGTTTTAAAACACGTATAGAGAAAATAATTCCTCAAAATTTCCTCCTCCAAGTTACGTCGTGTCGCGGGATCATTTCCTTCCTCTCCTCTCCTCTCCTTGCACGTCACACAGAGCGAAGCTTTAACAACCGCAGTTTTTCACACCCAGTTGTCGGAGAAAAACTTGTTTTTTAAGTATTGTTACCCACAGAGATGATTATAAAAAAGACGTGGGCATTCCTTCAGCCATAAATCCATCTTGCTAATGTAAAGTCGGCTTCTGCTCTGATGATGAAGATGAGTGCGCAGCCACGCAGCAATGAAGATGAGCGGGCAGCGATGAAGATGAGAGGGCAGCAGCTAAGTTCAGCAGGTGGAAGCTCATTGTTTGGCAGGCAAATATTAAAGCAAAAATGCTGGGTTTGATTAAGATTAGTTTTCTGCAAAAAAAAAAAAAAAAAGCTCTAGAAATTACATTATCTTTACTTTTTATGGTAGTTTTCTACCATGATATATAGTTACCGTGAAGGGGTTCAATTTATACCATGATATGAATTTGAGGTCATACCGCCCAGCCCTATGTTAACCTTATAAAATTATATGTTAAAAAGTAATGAAAAAATATCAGTTAGCTGTGGTCTGGAATCCTGGGGGGCGTGTCCGCTGGAGGAGCTTAAACTACGCCCACGACCCTGAACATTCCTGTAACCGAGGAAACAATGTTTGTTTGTTTTCCATTAGAGCTACAAGGGGCAGGGTTATACTGAAGGCAGCTGCGTGACATCACAAGGCTGCCCTTAAGATACGCCCAAAAAATCCTGAAACACAGACACCTTGTTACACAAATTGAATCATATCTCCACTATTCAAATATCTACAGTTGAGAGAATTTGTACTCATTTCCAACAATCCATTTATGATATTTATAATGTTTAAAAAAGAAAATGTTACATTTTACTTTACACGGTCTTTAAAGGTGTCTTTAAGTTCTCAGCAGTCATTTAAAGAGAAATTTACCCCAAAATCAACTTTTTTTTGCAGATGAACTGTCTAAACAGTGCCCTAAGGGTAATACCTTTCTATTTATGACTAAAATTCAACATTTTGGACTAAAATTGTTTAAAACTACAATATTGTGTCTAAAAATGTCTTTGTGCTGCTCTCTATGGGTTTAACTATGGCTACTGCATTTGAATTTCGTTATTCGTTCAAAGAGTATTGTATAACGTTGCTGGTACTGTGTGACGTCTCACAGCACAGTGTTCAGTATAAAAGCCTCTCTGTAGAGACACGCCCTGCAGGGATTCAGGAGTTAGCCATAGCATTGTTGATGGTAGCTGTGGTAGAAGCTGCTTCTCCTCACCCACAGTGAAAACATGGAGTCTATCAGTCATAAAACAAACTGAATTAACTTACACATCTAGGCCTGTCACGATAACAAATTTTGCTGGGCGATTAATTGTCTCAAAATTTATTGCGATAAACGATAATATTGCCTGGTGACCGTTTTACAACTAATAATTATAAAAGCATAATATGTAAGTGTAATGTAAGTAATAAATCAATAAACTTTAATTTTTAAAAGAATGTTTAACAAAGTGGACTCTC